ACCTGGCTAAATTTTTTTTGTATTTTTAGTAAAGACGTGGTTTCATGTTGTCCAGCATGTTGTCCAGGCTGGTCCTGAACTCCTAGACTCAAGCAACCCATCCACCTCAGCCTCCCAAACTGCTAGGATTAGGCGTGGGCCAGAGCGCACAGTGTGACTGTGTGAACACTATGTTCAAGCACTTTTCTAAGAGTTTTTCTCATTCAATCTCTCAGTAACTATGATGGTTTCCTATAAAAAAGGAAATGCGAGCACAGACAGATAAACTGATTCATCCAAGGCACACAGGTAGTATGTGGTAGCACTTGAAGCTAGGCAATCTGGCCTCAGTCTGTGCTCGTCATCATGCTAGAACAAAAAGGTGAAAAGGTTAGGAACTGCCACTCTGTAAGCAAAGGCTGAAAGACACCTTAAAGCATGGGTTGCCGATGTGTTCTTTGTAGGATTTAATCTGCATCAGTAGATGGGTGGGAAAGAGAAGAGATTCTATATTCAGAAACCCTGGGTTTAAGGAAGTTAAATTTCTTTCAACTCTGGAATTTCTCAAAACTAAAACTGAAATTTCTAAAAGGGAGATGAATTATTTAAAAAACAAAACTAGGCTGGGCATGGTGGCTCATTACTGTAATCCAAGCACTTTGGAGGCCAAGGCGGGTGGATCAGCTGAGGTCAGGAGTTCAAGACCAGCCTGACCAACATGGTGAAACCCCGTCTTTTAAAATAAATAAATAAATAAATAAAAATAAGTAAAAAATAATAAAAATAAATAAAAAAAACAAAACTATAGCTGAGTGCGGTGGCTTGTGCCTATAATCCCAACACTTTGGGAGGCTGAGGCAGGTAGATCACCTGAGGTCAGAAGTTTGGGACTAGCCTGGCTAACATGGTGAAACCTCGACTCTACTAAAAATACAAAAATTAGCTGGGTGTGGTGGGGGGGGGGTGGCACCTGTAATCCCAGCTACTAAGGTGGCTGAGGTAGGATAATTGCTTGAACCTGGGAGGCAAAAGTTGTGGGGAGCCAAGATCGTGCCACTGCACTCTAGCCTGGGCAAAAGATTGAGACTCTATCTCAGGAAAAAAAAAAAAAAAAAAAAAAAAAAAAAAACCACAACAAAAAAAAAAAAAAAAAAAAAAAAGGCATGTGCCACCACGCCTGGCTAATTCCGTATTTTTAGTAGAGACAAGGTTTCTCCATTTTGGTCAGGCTGGTCTTGAACTCCCAACCTCAGGTGATCTGACCACCTCGGACTCCCAAAGTGCTGGGATTATAGGCATGAGCCACCACGCCCATCGTTTCTTTCAATTTCATCATCATCATGTGAGCCACCTTCAAGGTGGTAGAGAATTCTCTAAGCCCAAGCACAGGGGCTGACATATGGGTTATGATCTCCTGTCAAAAGACAGATAGCTCAGAAGCTTAGCAGACAGCAGAAGCCTAAGAAATGTTTATATTCAACACCCGTCAGGTGCCTCCAGGCACTTTCACATATATTTCATAATTTTAACACATCAAAAACAAACCTTCTTTCCTTCTACCACCTCTCCCCACACAAAACCCCGCCCAGCTGAGCCCAGGCTATGCCCTTCTCCCTCCTTGGCCTCCCTTTCATCAGCAAAATCCTTCTCATCCCCTAAACTACAGTTCAAATATCACCTTCTCAGGGAAGCCGTCTAAACTTCTCCAGACAGCTGGCTGCTACCTATGCGGAGCAGGGACTCAGCGCCTGATTCTGACTTTAATCTGCTTGTAAGCTGGTCTCTTCCATCTGGATATAAGCTCCCAGAGAGCACGGCCCTGGCTGGACTTTGTAGTAACCAAGCAAGTAACAAACGTTTCTTGAAGGAACTAGCTGTTTAATAAGATGTCTACAAGGTTCGCCTCAAATGCTCCCTCTTGCAATCTCTACTCCCAGCCCAGGAGTAACTTGTCTCAGCCATACCTCAGAGGAGAACATGGTGGCACAGGTCCCAATGCACCAGCAGACGATGGGCTTGGTGAGGCGGCCCTCCTTGATGCCCCGGCAAATCTTATATTCCTCAGTGCCCCCTATCTGCCAAGGAATGAGGAATGAGAAAAAGCCAAGTTAGGAGAGCCCATCCTGACATAAAACTGGATAGAAAATGGAGGGACACAGGCTTTGGCCAAATAAAGGGAGTGTTTCAGCCTGGTTACAAGGATGATTTCTTACTTTTTTTTTTTTTTTTTTTGATGATTTGTCTACTCCAACACCAAACAAGGAGGATTTCTAAAAGAACAAAGAGCAGGTCTCCTAGAGGAATCCCTGGGACTCCCCCTTCCTGATCTAGAGATATGACATGACTTAGGATTAGACCTGCCTTCAGAGGTGCAAACAAAGGATGGTGTCATGGGACTCCATTTTTTAGTATATAGAAATATTTTTAAACTCGTTTATCCAAAAGTCATCAAATTTAATCCCTCCCCCGCTTTTTTTTGAGACGGAGTCTCGCTCTGTCTCCCAGGCTGGAGGGCAATGGCAAGATCTCTGCTCAGTGTAACCTCTGCCTCTCAGGTTCAAGTGATTCTCCCATCTCAGCCTCCAGAGTGGCTGGGATTACATGTGCACATCACCACACCCAGCTAATTTTTATATTTTTAGTAGAGATGGGGTTTCACCATGCAGGCCAGAATGGTCTGGAACTCCTGATCTCAAGTGCTTCCTGCCTTAGCCTCCCAAAGTGCTGGGAGGATTACAGGCGAGAACCACTGTACCTGGGCAAAAAAATGCACTTTTTACTCCAGCTTTCCACTGCCCACCAGGTAGAGATCATGGCCAGCCACAGCAGAGCTTCTTTCTTATTGGCACTAAAGTTTGGGACACTGGGAGACAAGAACTCCTTTCTCTGAAACAAATGGCAGTACTAACAGTGACAACCTCGAGGCCCCAGCATAGGGGGTGGGGTTACCAGGGACTGTCTCTTTAAGTTACATGCAACCAAAAGGTTTTAATTTTTTGAAAACTGAGATCATGCATTATACTTTTACAATCATGATTTTTTTTAAAGTAACTCACCTCTCCAAGAACCACAATCATTTTGACTCCTGGAGTGTCCTGGTAGCGTAACACATGATCCATGAATGTTGAGCCTGGGTACCTGTTGAGAGCAGGGAGGATACAGGATCAGGAGAAGCCATGGGGAGGTGTGTACAGGGTTAGGAGGCATATTTGTACTGGTAACACTGGACTTTTGGGGGATGTGGATGGCCGGTAAGGGTCCAGAGATGCCCCAGCAATAATGGAGAGGGGTAGGAGGGAGAAGGTGGCAAATGGAGCAGAAGGGAAGAAAGGGGAGGAAAGGGAAGCGAAGGAGTTGGAGCTATTCAACTCGCAGAAGAAAAGATTAGGCACAAAATAAGCCCAGAGAGGTTCACTGATCAGTAAGAGATAACCTAGAAAGTATGCTCTGGTGCAGCTGTTTTAAAACATATCCACAAAAAAATAAAATAAAATATATCCACAAATTCTGGCTGGCTGCTGTGGCTCACGCCTGTAATCCCAGCACTTTGCAAGGCCCCGGAGGGTGGATCACCTGTGGCCAGGAGTTCAAGACCAGTCTGACTAACATAGTGAAACCCTGTCTCTACTAAAAAATACAAAAATTAGTTGGGTATGGTGGTGAGCACCTCTAGTCTCAGCTACTTAGGAGCCTGAGGTGGGAGGATCACTTGAATTTTTTGTTTCTTTTTTTTTTTT